CTGCATATTGCTGTCCAGTTCTCCCAGCACCATTTGCTAAAGAGGCTTTTTCCATTGCATATGCTTCCCTGCTTTATCAAAGATTAGTTGGCCATATATTTGTGGGCCCAATTCTGGGTTCTCTATTCTATTCCATTAGTCTATGTGTCTGTGCCAATTACCATACTGTCTTGATGATTACAGCTTTGTAGTAGAGGCTAAAGTCCGGGATTGTGATGCCTCCAGCTTTGGTTTTCTTTTTCAACATTACTTTGGCTATTCAGAGTCTTTTGTGGACTTTTCCCCATTCTCATCACTGTCTTACACCTGTCCCAATAAGAGGGGATTGGGTTACTCTTTGACCTGGCCCCTTCTTTCAGTTTTAGGGACTCCTTACTTCCCTTTGGTTACTCAGCCTCTCCCTTCCCAGGTTATGCAGTTCAACCAGAGGTCCCCACTCAGCAGACAGAGATGGTGGAAGTGGCTAAGGCAATGCACAGAAAGAAGTTCAGTGCTCAGGCGAATTATCTTTTCCAATGGGAGAAGAATGCAACCCTGAATGCCATCCAGACAGGTGAGCCCAGGAAGCCCTTGAGAGGCCTGTGACAGGCCCATGGCCAACCTCCAATCCAACTATATCAGGGAACCTGCCCTGAACAATGGAGAGCTGTTCCTTGTAGAAATGGCAATGCTGCCTGCCTGAAATATTGGAGTGGAGCAGGCAGGTGGGCCAAAGTGGATGGCATGGGTGCAGGAAAAAAGTGAAGATATTCATATAAAACCCAGGTAGGGACAGGCAGCTAAAATGAAGTTGTTTAAAAAAAATAAAAAAAGCAGGGCCACAGGCCGACCCCACATCTAGGGCTCTAATAGCCTACACCAAACAGACCTTAAAGCAGAGATGGCCCAGACCTTGGATAGTCCAGGAGACTTGGTGCTCTGACATGGCAAAAGGCCTTGGTCCACTTGGTTGAACTCCATTAAAAGGCTGTCACCCTGCATGCCAGACCGAGAATCACCTGTTACCCAAAAGCCATGAGTCTCTCCACCAAAAAGGAGAGTTGTACCTCCCAGCCCTGTCAATTCCAAGTCTCAGCCCAGAATTAGTACTTTTCACAGCCCCATTAGTGGCTTGCTAGCTTATCTAGTCGGCATATAAAGGGTGTGCAGATGTACTAGGTATACATATGCCATCCGGTGTGTGAGCATGTGTACCTGTGTTGCTGAACTTCATGTCTACAGGGAATACCTTCAGAAAGAAGGCCACCCTAACCCACTCTGCAGATTCTGGGGTTTCTAGACTGAATTAGATAGACATCACTGTATTTATTTTTGTCTTTCATACTTCCTTTCCCATTATGATAGGAAGAGAGTTATGTTGAGACTAGATGAGCCTAAGATAGAAAGACAGCCAGGTAATTCTATGTCCTTCTCCCTTCTCCATGCAATTTGCTTTCCTCATTCTCATGCAGGGCCCCTTCCCCCTCCACCCCGGGCCAAGAAAGTCACAATGATCTCATTTGGGTCTCTAGAGAATCCATATATGTTCTGTGTAGAGAAAGATCAAGTGTAAGCTTTTCTTTTATTTATTCAGCATTTATTGAGCACCAACTATGTGTCAGGCATTGAGCTAGATGTGGAGGTAGTGGTTGGTGGGATTTCAAAAACAAAATCCCTCAAATAATTTGTACTCTAATGAGAGACACCAAAAAGTAAAAGGATAATTGTAATTCATTCTAATAATTGCTGTGACTGAGGTTAGCCCAGAGTGCTGCATGAGCAGAGATAAGAGGCACCCAATCTTGGGGGCTCAGGGAATAAGCCTTGGAAGGGATGACTTCTCAGCTGAAATCTGTAAGATGAGTAAAAAGAGGTGGCCAGGTAAAAAGTGAGGTAAGGTGAGACATGACAGGGCAAGGCACCAGGAGGAAACTGCAAGCAATGTTGGACAGAGCTCAGCTCTGGACCAGGAGAATTGTACAGGCATTTCTGTGGCAAAGGTCAAGAGTTGGGACTATATCCTAAGGGCACGTGAGAGTCACTGCAAGATTTTAAATGGGACAACAACACGACCAAATTTGTGTTTTTGAAAGACCACTGTGTCAGTAGCATAGACTGGAGAAAGATACGACTGGACATAGGAAGACTACATTTGGCCCTGGTAATAGTCTGGGTAAGAAGCGAATGGGTATAGGTGGATGAAGTAGATTCAAGAAACGCTGAGAAGACAAAACTGACCTTTGGATCTTTGGATGTGTAGGATAAGAAAGAAAGACATGCCTGGAATGACATCTAGGTGTTTGGCTTAAGAGACTGATTAGATGATGATGCCATTCATGAATGCCTAAAACAGAGTAGATGCATAAGTACCTGTTGGATGAACAGAGGACAAAGGATGAGGGCGAGGTTCGGAAGGAAGAATTGAATTTACTGCATTTGAAGTGCTTGTGGAACATGCTGGTAAAAGGGTCCAGTAGACAACTGGCTGTATGGGTCTGAAGCTCAGGAGAGAAGTCTGGACTAGAGACATCCTTCATGAAAAGACATATGTTGTATGGAGATATTCTAAGCAAAAAGAGATGTTATCATGCAAATGTGAGTATGTGACCATGGAATTGACTGTGTTGTACCTTGCCTGGTATTTTCACAGTAAGCATCTGTGCCGTAGACCTCTTTGCCACAAATATTATTCTGCAAAGTTAATTGACCATAAGGCAATTTGCCGTAAAAGATAAAAAAAATAACTAGTTGACAGTTTGGTTTGACAGTTTGTTGGTTTTATCCACTGTTTGGCAGTTTGGTTTCATTTCTCCACTGACACAGTACTCCCATTTATATATATATATATATATATATAT